TTTTTTAAAGATGGGGTTTCACCATATTGGTCAGACTGGTCTTGAACTCCTGACCTCAGGTGATCTGCCCACCTCAGCCTCCCAAAGTGCTGAGATTACAGGCGTGAGCCACCGCGCCCAGCTCCATGTCTTTCTTTTTGACGGAGTCTTGCCCTGTCGCCAGGCTGGAGAGCAATGGCACCATCTCGGCTCACTGCAACCTCTACCTCCTGGGTTCAAGCAGTTCTCCTGCTTCAGCCTCTGAGTAGCTGGGATTACCCGCATGTGCCACCATGCCCAGCTAATTTTTGTGTTTTTAGTAGAGACGAGATTTCACCATGTTGGGCAGGCTGGTCTCGAGCTCCTGACCTCAGGTGATCTGGTGGCCCCAGCCTTCCAAAATGCTGGGATTACAGGCATGAGCCACGGTGCCTGACCCTACACTCAATTTTCATAGCATATGTTACCATGCACTGTGACACAGTTTGCTAACGGGCACTACTTTGCAGAGCAGGCTTTGAATAACCCAGCTCTGCACACAGAGGGGTGCTGGAAATGCTTAACAACGGGCTCTCTGATTGCAGAAAATCAGCAGGGGCAAACCTGCTGTTTTCAGGCATTTGCTGATCTCCATGGTGTAAATACACGAAGGTCAATTTCAAGCCAACAGTGTAAAGTAACTGAATGCAGAGGTAGAAAGAGATATGCACAATCGATTTAACAAGGTGAAAAGAGCCAGCTCCAACATGCTTCTGTCAACCCCATTAGATTTTTAAAAATATTTTTAATAAAGCCCTTCTGGCAAGGCATGGTGGCTCACGCACGTAATCCCAACAATTTGGGAGGCCAACGCAGCTGGATCACCTGAGGTCAGGAGTTTGAGACCAGCCTGACCAACATGGCAAAACCCTGTCTCTATTAAATACAAAAAAAATTAACCAGTTGTGGTGGCACATGCCTGTAATCCCAGCTACTCGGAGGCTGAAGCAAGAGAATTGCTTGAACCCTGGAGGCGGAGGTTGCAGTGAGCCGAGATTGTGCCACTGCACTCCAGCCTGGCAACAAGAGGGAAATTCTGTCTCATAAATAAATGAAGCCCTTCTTTTTGAGGGCTTGTTGAACAATTGCTGAGCAGCTGGGCCAAATCATAAGAACTTTGCCCTCTGCAGATTTTCGACAGTGGATCCAAGACAGCCCTTCTTTCTGATAGTCTTCAGCTCAGTAAGAAAGGGCCATCTGATAGAACTCACAGCAAATCCAGGGTTGCTTTCCCTATGAGTTCCGGGTAGGCGCTGCCATTTCTCAAGGCTGATCAAATCACAGCTTGCTTGATAATAGTTGTGTTTAGTAACAATATCTTAGGGTAACAACATGTTTACAACAAAAAGATATTGTTGGACTCTGGCACATCTGCATCTATATCCATATATCTGTACGTTTAATTACGTTGTGGTATTGTGTTTTTGTGGTTCCTTATGACTTGCTCTCTCATATTTTAAAGAATTTCTGAAATGCAGTAATCAGGAACTGCTAAATAGTTTCTCTACATAGCTTTATGGTTTATGATCCATTAGTTTAGCTGGTGAGAGTTTATCAATAAAAATGCACAAAGAGAGAGTTTGATCCCACATCTGTTTTGTAGCCGCCTAACACTTGTGTGCTGTTAAGCACGCAGGATAACTAGAGTGGCCAGAGAGTCTGGATCATTTGCCAGGACACCTTCACCACTACAGAATAAAATAATTTCTGGCCCAGGCCTTCCTGAAGATTGCAACACTTGCATTATTTTTTTTTTTTTTTTTTCAGACAGAGTTTTGCTCTGTTGCCCAGGCTAGAGTGC